AACATATAGAAGTAAACAAACCTACTAACCTAGCGTTAGATAAACCCAAAGATACCAATTACTGGGAGAAGGACTCACTGTCAAATCGATTGGTAAAACTGGAAAGCAGACTGGTCAATTTAGGTGTAGATCAACATCTCACATAATCTGCCATGATAAGCTCCAAATGGATACATGACCTAGGTATTAAGCATAACATTTAAACACATTAGTGGCATAAGAAAGAAATTGTCTTTAGGATCTATGGATAGGGGAAGAGTTCATGACCTATAATCCAAGGGGATTATAGAAGATAAAATGGACAATTCTGATTACATAAAATTAAAAAGGTTCTGCACAAATGAAATCAATGCAGCTAAAATTAGAAGGGAAAGAGAAAAATGAAAAAGTAAGTTTCTCTTATGTCTCATTTCCAAGATATATAGAGAAACAATTTAAATTTAGAAGAATAAGAATCATCCTCCAACTAATAAATGGTCAAAGGATATGAAGAGGTGGTTTTCAAAGGAAGAAATCTAAGTTATCACTAGTCATATGAAAAAATGCCCCAAATCACTAATAATTAGAGAAGTGCAAATTAAAGTAACTGAGGTACCTCCTTATACTCATTGACCAGCAAAGCTGACAAAAAGGGAATATGACAAATATTGAGGGATTTTGGGAAGACAGGTGCATTAATGCATTATTCATGGAGCTGTGAACTACTATAGCTATTTTAGAAAACAATTTGAATTGTGTCCCCAAAATTTCTAAACTATGTGCATATAGTTAAGATCAAAGCAAGAGAAAAAAGTCACTTATATACAAAAATATTTATATTGACTCTATTTGTAGTGGCAAAGAACTGGAAACTAAGATGGTGTCCATCTTACTAGGGCATGTCTAAACTAATTATGATATATGAATGCAATGGAGTACTAGTGTGCCCTAAGAAATGACAAAAGTCACAATTTCAGAGAAACCTAGGAAGATCTGTATAAACTAAAGCAGTCCTGAAGTGATCAGGACTGGAATAATTTATACAATAACAGCATTGTAAAGACAAACAACAGCTTTGAAAGATTTAAGAGCTCTGATTCATTGATCCAATGACCAGCCAGGATTCCAGAGGATTGATAATAAAGCACATAACCCAAATCCTGACAGAGAAATCCTGACAGACTCAAGATACAGAATGTGACACCCATTTTTGGAGATATTAATAATAATGAAATAATAATTAATATTTATGTAGGACGTACAATGTTCCAGGTACTGTGCTAAGCACGTTACACATATTACTTCTTTTGATTATCTCATTTGACCTGGCCAATGTAGGTAATTTGTTTTGTCTGACTATGCATATTTGTTACTTCTGTTTTGTTTTGCTTTTGTTTTTTTCTTTTTCAATGGGGAAAGTAGAGTTTGGAAAGAAAAGAAGTGATAATTAATTGAGGAAAATAAAAATCAATAACCTATGAGTATGAAACCTTAAACCTCTAAACCAAACTAGCTTTCTAGGTACATTCTAGAGAGGAAACATAACTAGGGTTGGATAATTGGGGCATTTTGTCAAAATTTAGATGGCACAAAAAATTAACCTTCACCTATGCTCCTCTAACTCAACTGAATCTATTTAATTACTTCTTGTATTATTTTCACATCGAGAATTACAGTTTATTTTAGAATATGCTTTACTCTCAAAAAAGCTGCTTGTCCCTTTTTCCAGTGTCAAATTTGATAGTTACATGTCTGCTCCACAACATAATACAAAAACTTAGGGAGAAGTAGAAGGGGAAAAGACAGGATGAGAAGGAATGAAGGAGGTATAGAAGAAAAGAATGAGAGTGGGGGAAAGGGAGGAAGAGAGAGAAGGATTCTATCTAGCAGCCAACATATACATACATGAGTATATACAAAAAAAAATAAAGTAAATATAAAGGAATTTGAGTGGGGATGAGGAGGGAGGTATCAACAGCTGGTGGGAAGGGATAAAGAAAGGCCTAATACAGGAAATGCTATTTGAGTGAACAGGCCCCTATTATGTGCCAGGAATTTTGAAGGAAATCAGGGGTGGAGGGAAGTGAAGGGGCAGGGGAGTCATTGCAAAAGCCAAGCCAATTTGGCTGGACTACAGATAATGAGGATAAAAAGGAGGAATGCCAAATAAGGTTGGAAAGGTGGTTTAAAGCCAGGATGTGAAAGGGACTAAATGTTAAATAGAGGTGTTTGCATTTGACTCTAGATGTAACAAGGAGACATTGGAGCTTACTGAGTAGGTCAGTGACATGTTGGAGAATGACCAGTGTTTTAAGTATATTTTTGTCACACTTTGTCAGCTGTGTGGGAGATGAAAGGAAGGAGAGAAAATTGAATCAGTGAGGCCATTTAGGAAGTTATTGATAAAGTCCAAGGGTGAAGTGATGAACAAAAAGGTTGGACATGTGAGTGGATTTCAGAATCAATTACAAATTAAAAAAGATATACTGATTTGAGAACTTTTTGCTGACCTTCATTTTTATTCAAGATGGCAGACTGAACCATAAATCAAAGGTCTATCTTGATAGCTTTTAATATTCAATCATCCCCTTTCCCCACATCATTAAAATTTGATAATTATTCTACATCTAATAAGCCAAGTGACATAAACGTAAAATGCCCCTGGTTCAAGTTAAAACAGGTTTCTCTTTGGTTAATGATAAAGACAAAATGAGATAATGTATCAGCATGTAAAAGATGACATGGAAAAATCCTAGAGGCAGCATGGTACAATGGAAAAGAGAGATAAATTTGGAGTCAAATGATCTGGGTTCAAGTGCTTTCTCTGTCATTATCTGTGTGATCTTTGACAAGAATCTCAACCCCTCTGGGCCTCACTTGCCTAATCTGTAACTTTCCTTCTCAACACTGATGACCCAAGAGTCCTTCAGCCTCTGCTTGAAGATCTTCAGTGATAGGGAACTCACTGCCTCTCGAAGCTGCTCATTCCACATGAAGAAGAAACTGAAAGGGTTGACAGGGGTCATTCCATGGACTATGCTATCTTTCCAGGTCCCAACTGACCCTGTTGATGTTTCATCACACTTGTGACTCAGGGTTATGTGGCACTGAGATAACAAAGAAGCATCTTATTGGCTGCTGAGACAGGAGCTGATGATTCATAGATCTTTTAAAAGAGGAAATAGCTTCAGGCTGGAGCCTCCTGGCTGTCACTCTTGAGGTAGCTTGATATGGCAATATAAATTATTGGTGATTGCCCTGTGTGCCCAAGGAAGCATCAGATGACCAGTAACCCCTTCCCTGTTGGTTAACAACAATAACAGCTAACATTTATATGATGCTTACTAAGTGACAGGAATCGTTCTAAACACTTCACAAAGATTATCTCATTTGATCCTTAGAACAACTTTGGGAGGTCTATTAGGCTGACTTTCTTGCTTTTTGGGACCTATCTACCTTTGATGGCTTATTAGTTTGTAGTTGTACACTTCTAATGCCAAGGGAAACTAGGACAAATATTAGAAGCCTGGAAGCTGGAATAAATGGCCTGTTGCAACCTTAAAGAAAAACCATCTTTCCCTCCCCTTGTCCCTGTTTTCTTCTTCCTCTAAAAAAGCAACATGAAACTTAGTCAGTATCCTTCTTAGCCTAGCCATGTAAGCATTCAAAATATACTGTGAAAGTATACTTTGTAAGACTAAATTATTTCCTTCTCTCTCATCCCTTCAAGGAGCAGGGGCAGTTTCTATTTTCTGACTTCGCATCCTCAGGGCTGGGGAGGCACACAGTAGGTGCTTTTTGAATCGAATGCTTTCTATGCCTATTATACCTACACAGACTTGGTTTCTTCCAGACCTTTACTTGCATCTCCCGATTCCCCACAAGCCTGAGATCCTGTGGATTGTGAAACCGAAAAAAGAGATTAAGGGTTTAAGCCGAGTCACAGGGTTCGGGGAACAAAATTTAGGTTGTAGTCATTGCAAGCTCCTCAAAAGAAAGAGCCCAGCCTTCCAGCACAGCGCCTGGCCCTTGGAAAGGGCTGAAGAAATGCTCGCTGCCCGTCTGACTGACGATTGATTAATTGACGGTTGTCTGCTCTCTGGAAGGAGGAGGCCGGGGGAGCTGTCTTCGCTGTGCTGCCGGTCCGGGTCCGAGGACGATTAGCATTTTTCGGGGCTCGCCCGTGCACCACGCCCCAAGCCGAAGTGATTAGAGAAGGCTGCCGGCCCGGCCCGATACATGGGGATCAGTCAGCGGCCCAGGACGCCCCGCCCCGCCCGAGGGCAGGGGCCGCAGAGAACAAACGAACCCAGAAATCAACCCATAGTGCCCCGGGGGAGGCCTTAGCCAAGGTCAAGGTCAAACAGCCTACTCCGCCCGCAGCACCTCCTAGAGAGCCTGGAAGTGGGGTGGGGAGGACTGTCCCCGAGGCCTCAGTCCTCCTGAAGGGTGGAAGGGCATTACAAGGGCCGCAGAGCTGCTGCCTCGAGGAGGTCCGTGCGCAGACCGGTGTGGGGGCGGGGCAGCCAGGAAGGGGGCGGGGCCCGGCCTCTAACAGGCAGCACGGGGGCGGGGCCCGGACTGCTTTCTAGATGTACCGGGTTTGTAGAATTGTCAGGGAGGGGACCGGGAAGCCGTAGGCGGGAACGAGGAGGGGCCTAGAAGTCTATCAGGTAGGACGGAGGCAGGACCTGGGGCGGGGCCGGGAGAGTGTCGGTATGGAGGTAGGCTGGAAGGGCTCTTCCGACTGTACCCGGCGAGTTGGGGGAGTGGGCCCAGCATGCCGGAGGCGGAGTCAGTCTCGTGTTTGGCCGCTCATGCGCAGCCTGGTGTCGGAGGGGGCGGGGCGAGTGGCAGCTGCGCGTGCGTGCCCGCGGGGTGCCTAGGGCGGGGCGGGGCCGGGGCTCAGGCCGGGGGGGGGGAGGGAGGGGTGGGAAGGAGGCGAGGAAGGGGCGGTGGCGGCTGCTGAAGAGGCTGAGGAGGCTGAGGGAGCGGAGGCGGCGGCGGCTGCGGCGGCGAAGGCGAGCCCGAACGCAAGGCCGGGCAGCCGCTGCGCGCCCAGCTGGGCCGGAGGGCATGTGACTGCCGGGCGTCGCGGGGGCGCTCCATCCTTCCCACCGTCCCTCCCTCACCCCCTGGGCTCCTCCCCCGCTGACCGGGCGGTCGCTGGGCCGGGCCCGGGGGCGGCGGCGGCGGCGACCCAGGCTGGACGGACAGCCACGACCTCCCCTGGGTGAGTGACTGAGGGAGCGGGGGAGGAGTGGGGCGGGGCGCTCCCTCTGGGGTCGTGGACCCCCCTCTGCCGGCTCCGGCGAGGGGGCTGCGCCCAGGGCCGGCGGGTGGGTGTGTGCTCACCGAGGGCGCGGCTCGGGCCCCGCGGGCCCCCACCTCCCGCAGCCCTGGACGGCTCTAGGCGGGGCCGACCCTCCATCCTTGCGCCCCTCGAAGCGCACGTCAGGGTGTCTGGGGGCTGCGCTCCGAGGGGCCTGCGGCTCGGTGGGGCATCTTTTCCATTTTACATTAGGTGCCAGGATGCTATTTATAAAGCCGGAGCATCCGGCGTTTCTTCGGCTAAAAAGGTTCAGAAAAGGGCTGAGGTTCCTTTTAGAGGAATAAAGGGATCTGGGCAGGCCTTCAGGGCACCTTAAAACACAAACTCCGAAAGGTATCAGGAAATTCACTTGGATGGTTCACATTGCCGGAGATGTCAGTGTTTGAATTGGATGTACGAGACCTTTATCTTCGAGTCGCGTCATAGCCACTTCTTTTTTGGACCAGGAAGAGGGAAGGATGGATCCTTTGTAGTGGTTATTGGTGATTGCACTTGATCTTGAATTTCATACTTGCAAACTCATCTTTGTAGACTAGCCAGCCAGTTAGGCATGCTTTTCCAAGATCAGGCCTGATCGGTTCAGAAAACTGTTTTTAAGAACCTCCTCTTGTCTTGATCAGAGGTTTATATCTCTAGGAAACACAACTCAGCTGTTCATCCCCCTAAGTTAGATAAATTGTATATATGTAAATGCGTATATGCATTTTCACATATAGATCATATGTATAGATCATAGAGTCATAGAGTGATTGAGATTTGGGAGGGGCATTAGAGTTCTAATCCAACCCCGTAGTTTTACAGATGTGGGGAGACCTATAAAGGTGATGTGACTTGCCCAAGGTCACAGGGCCAGTAACACCAGGCTGCAAAGTCAATTCCATTATCTATTAGAATACACAATGTCGCCTCTCAACACAACAAAACCCTTATAACTTCCTTTCTTTTTCTCTGTCCTCAACATGCCCCTCTGTTTCTTCTTCTAAACTTAGGAAGAGATTGACAGATGGCAAATAGATATGTAAGTTGTAAAAACTGAAATCCATAGTAATCCATAATAGAAGATACGCTGACTAAAGGTAAATCATAATTTATATAAATTGATGGAGACAGACCCTTGCCAGTTTCCTCTGTGCATTAAAATGTTACACAAACAATTTTTCTTTTGGCAAGAGAATCCAGTAACCAGATTTCTTAGACCACAGTTTTGTGGTAGATTCTGTTATCTTCTTGACTGCATCATTTCTTTGATGCTATTCTACCTACAGTGAACTTTGTAATTAGAGTGTATTATGGTAAACAATATTATTATATCTGACTGTACCATTTTAATGGAATAAGATTGATGAATTTAACAGGACACTACCAAATGATAACATTTATATTTCATGGTTATGGTTACTATACCATAAGAATACAAACTTTTAAGAATAATGTCCTTGAAGTTTCTCTTCTCTTACCTCCCCTCCCCTCCCCTTGTCTTCTCAAGCCTTTTCAGTTTGGTAGAATCTGTCAGAGTTTATGTTCACTGGTGTAGTGTTCTAGAAACTCAGGACATTTCTCTGTCAGGATGAGGTATCAAAATAGGACTTTAATGGAGCTGTGCCACACTAGGGTTCCTGATTTTCCATGGAGATATAGTATTATCCCCTACCAAGAATTATCCTGAGCATAGTCAGGACTTGGATCCAAATCCGTGAATTTATATTAAGTACATACTTGTAGTGAACTGTGCTTGGTGCTGAGTGGGGTGGGGAATACAGGTTTACAGGGCTCACCTGATGGTCTGGGAGGTCAATTTTGATACCCATATCTATAACTGTAAACAGTGTTATATGGCAAGTACCTTAGAGAACACTTTCTGCTACTCCTCTAGTGATGAACCTATCATTTTACATGATCTCATAAAGAGCTACATTTTTCAGTCATTAATGCCTTTATTTTAGTTTGCTGAGGTACTAGTCTGTCATCTAGTGGTAATTAATTGGAATTGCAGGGATTTAAAAACATTTTTTTTGAAAAGTACTTTCCAACTCACCGTGGCTCTAAGATGTAAAAATGATTTAAAATCCTTATGCTTGGTATAAGGAAATTTAGAGAAAAAGAAAGCAGTTGTCCACATTTTCCTATATAGATTTATTAAGATGCCCAGGACACTCATGCTCCTCTAAATTCTAAAAAAGTAAGGTAAATTATTGTTAATTAAATGTGTACTGTTTTCTATAGTTAGAATATTAATTTTAGGTCATATTGATGATATAGTGGAGTTGTATTGTTCAGGTGCTGGGTGTATAATTTATAGTAATCCATTTTTCTCAAGTGGAATTTTTTTTAAAATAAAATTTAAATTATTTATAGAAGCTTATAGACATTCTATCTCTGCTTTTATGGTATATTGTTTTGTATACTTTAGTACTTTGATACATGGGCTGTCACATATGCTTAGAATGCTCTCACTCCTCATCTCTGCCTCCTGGCTTCCTTCAAGTCTCAACTAAAGTCTCATCTTTTGCAAGAAACTGTTCCCTTGTTTTCTCTCTAACATTACTCACAGTATTTAGTTGTTGGTTGGTTTGCTGTTTTCTCCATTAGATAGAGCTCCTTGAGAGTGGAGAGTGCTTTTGCCTTTCTTTATGTCCCTAGCACTTAGCCAAGTGGCTGACAGCGTAGCAGGTACTTAATAAATGATAATTGACTGACTCAACTGGAGGATTTGTGAGTACCACTAGTGTTGGTACTCACTTCACCTAGGCAGACATATCTCCTCTTGATACATTTTAGTTGATTGTTTAGGTGCTGAGGCTGAAAAATTAATCACTTTCCAGTCAACATGGTGACAAGCCATCCTCAGATGACAAGACAGATATTATACCAGGAGGGCTCTATCAAATCCCTTCTAGTTTTACAGGACCTGCTAGAGCTCATATTCTGCTGGCATAACTTTTAAGAATGCAAAGATGAGTTATCTGCTTAGAATTTTGGTCATATCTGTAATTTATTTGATAAACCCTTGAATAGGAACAACCCTCCCCCCAATTATAACATTGTTTCAAGGGAAACATTTTATGTCAAACTGCTTTATGATGCAGTTTCCTATAGTGGATGTGGTCAAATCTTTATTCTTTAAAGGGCTTGTTAAGTACTGCATCAAACCTTTTTAAAAACAATTTTAAAATGCATTACAGTAGAGCAGTGGCTTGAAGATGACTTCAAGTAATGGGTTGTTCTGGGTTCATGTTCATTCTTTGAATTTTTACTTTTTAAAAAAGATTGATGAAGATACTTTTGTAATGCACTATATATGTCACTAGCTTAAGTTATTGTATCGTGCTCTGTAAGTGCTGATATAGTGTTGTGGGGCTTAGGAGTAGATGGCTTACCTTTCCATCACACTAGCATATATAATGTATGCCTGCCCACAATTCTGAGCTTTCTTTGTGGGATATCTTCAGTGTCAGGCACCTATGCCCTGAGTGGCTATTGGATGCAAGCGGTCATTTACACCATCCCAAAATACAAATGTGTTTTACCTTTTGTTCTTTGTCACTAGCTCTCTTCTTCCTTGTCAGGGGGTCTGGAACATATTGCTTCCCCATAACTCATGGTTCTTCTAACTAAAATGTATAGTCCATCCTAAGTAGGGGTTTTCTTATGAAATATGGAATATTTTTTCATAGTGCTTTGGGAACCTAAAGATCCACTATCATAGCTTCAGTTGAGAAATAGAGGATGGGAGACAAGTAATAAGTAGGGCTTTTTGCTCCTGGGTTGTTTTCCACCTGCTGGTAGCAGTAAAAATCCTTAGAATATTTAAGATGGCTGTGGGCTTATTTCAGGGCTATGGAGGTCTAGGTGAAGATAACATTCTGTTCAGCTGTGGGCTGGCAGGATAGGATGTGGAGGAAGGAAAGAAAGAAACTTAGGGTTAGAAGTAATATGTGATTGTGGTGGAAGGGGTAGTGGTTGGGCCAATCTCTGGGGGAAGCAACCCCTGAAACTTCTGAAGAGAAGGCAAGGCTTGTAGGTTAAATACATATAAATATGTAGGCACATCCTGAGTAATGTAAGTCTGTTTCATGATAATGTTGCTCATTCCTCCCCCCCCCCCCCATCTTAGTTACTTCCTCAGCTTGTACTCAGACTTAGGTTGGGTCCACAGAGGTAAGCCTGTGGGTAGCTACTCCTATTATTGTAGCTCCTGAGTTCTGCCAGTGGGCTTCTCATGAAGTGGTCTTGATAGCTTCTCTGGAGTAAGACAGCACCTTAGATGAGGAAGAGGAAACTGAGGCCCAGAGAGATGAAATGACTTGTCCAAGGTCACAGAAGTAGTAACAGAGCTGGGATTAAAAGTCGGGTTCTATGATTTTAATTTCAGATCTGAACTATTATTTATGATGTCATACTTTTTAGCATTTTTAATCCTTTGTTTATGTGTCCCCATATCAGTTGCTGAGAAATTGAGGTCATAGCCTATCTACAACACTAGCTTCTCCAGAATCACTAAGTGGATTTATGATAAAGTTGGTATTAGGACACAAAGTTCATTTTCTAATAATGTACTTTACATCCGGGACAGTACTTTAAGCCCATTAAGTGGTTTCAAGTTAAATGTAAAAGAAACCAGACCCTTAAAAATCAGAAAAGAAGCTTGTATCTGACAATCATACTCATTTAGGCACAGGAAATGAATCTTACCACAGAGCATACGGAATGTAGAGATTTACAGGATATTCTACAAGAGAGCACAGACTGAAAGAAACTTCATGGTCTCACTTCCTGTCTTGCCATCTTTGAAGATTTATGTCGGTGAATTCTTGTATGCTGCTCTCCTCCTTGAAGGCAGTTGAGGCTACTTCTGTTGATAGAAAGTCTGTCAGATGGCTATAAACCCAAGAATTGGGATT